AAAACCCTGTTTAATGTTGACTATCAAGCTTGCTGTAGACAATATAAAGTACGTACTGTCACTTAATCGTTTTACTTTTAGCATTTTAGCAAAAGCTACGTAGCTTTGCGCAGCAGGTTTTTACTATTCTAGTTATCTACAAAATCAAATGTTTATAAACAAATTCTCATTCGATTCGTCAGGTGCATATATACATACAGCTTTCCACCGTTCTTCATAGAAACGATATGGCCTTTGATAGTAGCGACAGCATGCTCGTTACGGTTCCTCTTGGGAATAAGATATTCGTCAAAGACATTCGTAGGACAACGAACCGGAAGTTCAGAACCGGCGCTCGTGGAATTGAATTGCTTCTTCATGACATGATGCAGCGCGAGATTCGTCGTCACTTGCTGTCCGGTTGTTCTATTTTGTGAAAAAAGATTGGAGGGGGGGGGATTTATGTCTGTCGAGGGAAATGGTTTTCACGTCACGTAACAAATCGTGTACTAACTTTATGGAAAGTCAACTACTTTACCAACAGATGTAAATCGGACACGCCAACCACCACACTACAATACTACGTAATCACCAACAAATACCCAAACATACTTACGACAATACTCCACTTGCGACTTTTCTTCCAATTATTGACTCTACGTCGGCCCCCATTTTTCATCCCCCTCCATCTCACTCCATAACTCAGATCTACTAACATAATCCTTGGGAACATCTCTTTTACGTAATTGGACGTCTCTTCAAAGAAAGTTTTGGCACTTAGACCAGGCGGGAAATCAGGCTCAGGCATTAGTGCTGTTGACGTATCACTGCGCTGAAATTACGGTAAAGGCTGATCCGACGACGGAGATGTGGTGATCATAGTTGTATAGTGAGAGAAACAGAGGGTGAGGATTGTTGAGATAACGGTGTGGTATAAGAACATAATCGTGGATCAATCTATGGCTTGCAATTTCATTCACATAATCTCCAATCAGATCTTCATTGGCTTCGTTTGTAACCAGGATACTCCAATTCCTTGTTTCTTTTAATTGAAAAAATGTGAAACACGATTGCCCTTCTTCGATTAAATCTTCATACTCGACAAGGTTCCATGAGCGTTTGCTTAACAAGCGAAAGGATGAAATGACATTGATGTTGGTGTGGAAGATAGTCTGTGATTGCATTTGGAAGATGTAAAAAGTCATTGCATAATAGAAAGAAGAGTTTAACTTCTCGATGTTGAAGCGAGAGGTGAACAAAAATGAAGGAAAGCTCACCTTGAGATATTGATGTTGACTAAATTATGTATGATGCTATCATTTCGGGAACAGTCATGATTCGTATGTCATTGACAAGATCGCAGTTGGGAAAGGGGTCTTGTGAACAACCAAATATTAATAACGAGCCTCTTCTCCTGGGATGTGAAAAATAAGGATTGAACCTGATCTCATTATTTATAACCTGCTGCCGTCAAGGAGGTTATGTTTGCGCGATATGTCGCAGTCCACCTCGCCTGTTAAGAAAGAATATATTGTATGTCGATAATCGATTAATGTTAGCATAAATTCTTACAAACAACATGCGCTTAATGCTTTGTCAAGTAAAAAATCGAATTTTATTAAATCGCGTAAGATGAAGTAATACAAGAAATGAAAATTTATGTAGATTATCACAAAAGTCACATGATCCACATACTCTGTATTTGAGGAAACAGCCGAAAGACAAGCGTATACAGCAAGTTTCTGCATGCATGGGTCAATTAATGAAATAAGTGTTACTATGATAGGGGTACAGAAGATGAGTGTGGAGGCTGAATAACTTACTTGGACGTTGGAACACTCATCCTTGCTATGATATTCGAGATGATTGAAGGTTGTGCGTTGGTCCGGTGACATGTGGAGAGTTCGGACAATTAGTATCGGTGTGGGGGTATTCTCGACGTGCAGTTTGATCCACCAAGTGTAGCTAATATGTACTTTTGCTATGTTGTCCCCTCCCCGAACGCGTAAAGCTTGTATCAATACGCTCGATTTGTTTGGCAACAGATGAGGTGATAATATAGCCATTTACTTTTAGAAAGACGGCAGCAGTATTTCATGTCGATTAGAAATAATAGAATGGCTGTGGACAACGAGCTGATGACGATATACGAAAGAATGAATGCTCTTTCGATCCGCGATAACTGAACAGATCATTGGAATGATCTTAGACCAAGAACTGTGAAATGCGCCTGCTCAAACTTTCGGTCAAGGGTTAGGAATTAAACATAGCTTTCGCCACAGCAGACATAACGGTGCAGTGTAGGGCATACTTGTGTGGCAAGTCTTATTTTTGTTGTCAGTGCCGCATCGGTTTTCCGGTCATCAAGACTATGCAACAATATTGTGGAAAGAGTAGTAATATATCTTTGAAAGATATTAGTAGATTGATAATTTCTCAACACTCGTCTAATACTATCGATTAGAGATTTATATTGGAAGGTTCGAGATTGTGTCATCAGGATTTTTGCCCACATTCTAGTCATAAAGTGGCTCTTGCGCCAATCAAAGTCGGAATAACAATATCCAAGGTAGACCGCTGGGTCATCTGGGAAGGAATTAGTTTGAGAGAAGTACGCATCATCCGGACAGCGTCGAAAACTGAAAAAGAAGCTTCGCTGGCCAGTGGACTTGATTGGATGCAGATACCCACCTTCACTCAGGACATTCTAACAACATACGTTACATCGGCTGACATTTACAAAACTACCCAACTACAAGTTTGAGTTTGGCAAAGTCAAATGCAATTAGTCCATCATGTAGACCAGATCCGATTATCTTACTACATTGCAGAGAGTCAATACTGGGTATTTGTATTAAGATGAATATGACACTACTCGAAATTCCTGGATGCAGCTGTCATCGGAATAGGCTGATTACGCGAGCTATTTGGGTGACGAATTTGAGTTGGTGCTGCATCGCTGACATTGCAGAGTTTACACATTCGATGTTGTGAGCGATAGGACTCGTTAAGCACGGCTACGGATGAAACTATTGTTTTTGCGGGGGCTATTACAGGTACGTTATCCGTCGCGTGCCATAATCAGCGTGTGAATTTGGCAATTGTCACTTAACGCTGATTACTCAAATTGTAGGCATACGGAATGTTGCTACAGGTTTTTTGTCGGCGTAGAGATCAGCTGAGGGTTGTTGGACGAGATAAGGTTTAGTATTCATAAAAATGTTGTGTTTGGCTATATATAGTTATTTCTTACAATTTCGTTCTCATAGAAATTTCTGATGAATACTTTGATAGCATTGGAAATGGCTAGTTGACGTTCTCGCCAAAGGCTTGTTGTCAGAATGGTACTGTATTTTATCTCTTAAAACCAGAATTGCAAACAATTTCTGCCAACGTAATGGAGACTTTCAAAGGTTGATAAGTTTGAACAGTTTACGAGTTTCAAGTTTTACTAATAAGATCCCTTCTGACAGTTGCAAGAAAGATATTAATGGCTTTTGGGGACATCCAAAAAACGCGAGGAGAAAAAAAATAATTTGGAAGAAAGAATTCAGATTGCTGAAAGGAAGAGCAAGTTGCATGATGTATGTATTTCTACAAGTTGATTTTACTTCGCGAACTTCAAATAATTGATGCCCTCGTTTATGCTGGGTTAAACAACACGCGACCGCAAAAAAATTAATATTTGAACAAGATAATAATGTTCGCAAAAACTTTAATGCCCAAATATTAGGAAAAAAGAATAATATTCGAAGGACAAGTCAGTGCCTTCTATTCCAAAATCTCGTAAACGAAAAGAGAAGACTTACAGAAAATAACGTATAACACTATTGGGATCAACGGTCTACTTGTAAACGTTTAATATGTAGTATAGTAGCAATCAATAATAATATCGAGAGACAATTTACATTGTTTGAGAAAAAACTTCACTATAATGCGAAATTTACTATATCGAGACTTACTATGAAACTTCATTTTTATCAAAAGAAAATTTAATAATTCAGTTTTTTGTTCAGAGGAATTCTTGACTATAACGCGAAATTTACTATATCGAGACTTTACTATATTGAGTCTTGACTGTATGATGTTCTGCTCGGTAAAAATGATTTCGCACTTACTTTTTTCACATCTTCATCGATATTTGGGGTGGGTAGAGGTATTCGAAATGTTGATAATCATCATGATTGCCACATTTGTCATAAATCACGCGCTTGTTACCTTGTTGTATATGGAAGTTGTTAGCTGATCATTAATGTTCATTTTCCATATTTGAAAACATCGCATGCGATCGTATGATGTGAATAATTCAGAAAAAGATGTGTTTATTTCAGAACTTCGATCACTCTGTCCAGCACATGATTCGACCAATAATTGACTTTCCCCAGCATCACCATGAAAATTAACTTAGTTATGAAAATTTCACGTTCACATAATTATTTATACATAGTCACTCTCGATAATAATAAGTCGGATTTGGCTTAACTCGGACAAAAAAATTCGATAAGTCGGACACATATATAAAATCGCGATAAACCCGTAAGTCGGACAACCTTTCACTCGGGTTAT